GTGAGCAAACATTCCATAACTGCAGGTGGAGGTAAATCGCCAACCTTGGCTTTATACCTATTCAAACAGCACACTCCAGGTGACAGTATGTACCCTTTTAGTTTGTTTACCAACTCATAGAAGTAGTAGAAGAAGAAAATGGACTACTTCAAAATGGAGATGGACTCAATGGCGCTGTCCAAGGGGCCAGGGTTCCGATCTAGAGGCACGGTTTCCATTGTTCCTACAGATTTGCTTCGGTACTGCAGTTTAAGTGACCGCCCGGCCCAGAAAGACAAATTCCATAGAAGGCCACATAGAGAAGTCAGATTAAAAAATCTGAGTAATGGATCGACAGTTTTTAGTCATCACCTTTTTGCACAAAACATACAATGAATTATTCAAATAATTGTCCATGAGGCCGATATTTTTAATTTTTCATTACTCACAGCTGAAGATATTTACATGTTATATTCATCCAATGTCTGCCATGTTTTTGGATGACGTGATGATGTGATGTTGGTCCGTATAAACCGTTTGCAACACAGAAATAGAAGGCGCTGCCCTGCAATCACAGACACCATAATGGGACAGATACAATGATGAGTCCTCTGTCATTCTCTATGGTCTATCGTTGACGCGCTTCTCTGCTGCCACTGTGGGCTACTGCAAGTTTTACTTGAATGGGAGTGGAACATCTATTTTAGAAGAGCAATACAGTGTTTATGGTTGTAACAAAGTTTATTGAAAGAGCGTTTGTCTTTACAAACCATGGTATTTACATGTGATCTTCAGGCCTCGTTGGCGCAGTAGGCAGCGCGTCAGTCTCATAATCTGAAGGTCGTGAGTTCGAGCCTCACACGGGGCAGAATGCTTTTCTTGTGATTTTACTGTTGAGACATGTTTTTATAAATTTTACAATATTTTATTTTGAATAATGTTTATGGAGAATCATCACTATGTATGCCTCTGTGTTTGACAGTAGTAGAGTAGTTGAAACTCGCATGCTGAATTATTCCTAAACACAGTGGAGGCCACTGAGGGCAGGACGGCTCATAATAATGGCTGGAACGGAGCCAATGGAATGGCATCAAACCATGTGTTTGATATATTTGATACCATTCCACTAATTCCCCTCCAGCCATTACCACGAGCCCGTCCTCCCCAGTTAAAGTGCCACCAACCTCTTGTGCTGGGATCCCATTTGGCTATTGCTATTTATGTTGTGCTGTCTTTTGTCCCAACTCTTCTTTGTGACCAGGCCCCACCCATACTCTTCTTTTATTATTGAAGTAGGAGTTACTGGCATGGCCAATAGTTTTAAGCTCTGAGGAAAGCGATGGTACTCAGTGCCCGGCTAGCTCAGTCGGTAGAGCATGAGACTCTTAATCTCAGGGTCGTGGGTTCGAGCCCCACGTTGGGCGCAAAGCTTTTTGTAGGGACAACGGCAGAGAGGAAGTGAACCTGGAATTTGTGTAACATGTATTTTACTAAAATGAAAGTATAATTGAGAGCACCCTTCACAGGAGCCATGGCAGACGCCAGTCTCCCGGCGCTCTCTGTTCTGGGTGCTGAGATTATGGTAGACGGAACAGCACTCATTCTGTCATGGCAGTAAATTACCGGTATATGTGTTTAGGGAAAGAGGTTTGCAAAAGCTTAGCTGAATCTCCAGCATGTTGTCACTGATTTTGTAAAAAATATTTGTAGGAGACAACTAAAAGATTTCGTCCCTGGGTGGGCTCGAACCACCAACCTTTAGATTAACAGTCTAACGCGCTAGCCGATTGCGCCACAGAGACGGTGAAACCACTTACAATAAATTCGTCCTAAAAATCTGCATCGTCTGAGGTCGGGTGACTTTGTCAGATCTTTGTTAGAGTTTAGAGAGCACCGGTAAGGGATGATTTGTATTTCAGGTAGTCTCAGGATGTTGACACTGATCTCTCATTAGCACAGCCAACTATGGGTGCTGCCGTGCTGGAGCAAGGCACTGAAAAGTGAAAAGCAGAGGCTCTGAAAAGATTGTTACTGGTGCAGGTCTTCTCAGAGCAGTGCATGTGTAGCAAAGGAAGTCACTTAGCGTTGAAAAGCACCCCAAGTCTGACAGAGTTGGTCTGGCACGAGGACAAGGACATTCTTAATAACGGTCACTTAACCTTGGTGGAATCGTCTCTGTGGCGCAATCGGCTAGCGCGTTAGACTGTTAATCTAAAGGTTGGTGGTTCGAGCCCACCCAGGGACGAAATTATAATTATTTTGCCCCCGAATAAATAGGTCCTTGCAATCCAGAATCCTTGGGACGTCCCAACACCATTAAACTTGAAATGTAAAATGGTTAAGGATAGGTAAGGGTTACGATTACGGTTAGGGTAGGGTTTAGGGTATGGACGTCCCAAGGATCTCGGATAGCACTAACCAAATTAAATAGGGTAGTGTTTCTAAACCTTTTTTGGTTACTGTACCACCAAATGAATTTTTCTGCCCGGAGTACCCCTGAAGTACCTCATGTGAGTTTTACCAGTAGGCCTATGGTCTCATGAGCCTTCTCAAATACCCCCTGTGGATAGGCCAATTACCCCCAGGGGTCCTAGTGCCCCTGGTTGGGAACCACTGGGGTAGATCTCTGACAGCAGCCTTTGTAGGGGCTGATTAGTTTCCTCGAGTTTGACGCTGTGATCTTGAATGCGCTCAGCCTACAATGCACGCTAATGATGATGAATGTTGGTCATCCTAACTGTTCATGGCGAGAAATGACAGCTTCCAGTTGACCTCCTCCTGTTGACCTTTTATCGCATGTTTGGGTCAGTCACATGACAGATAAGTCACCAATAAATGGTAATAAATGTCATGTAAAACATAACTTGGCTTTGTTCTCTTTCAGATCAGGGATCGCTTGTCTACATGGCGCTCGTCCGTCAAGACGCAATTGTCCCGCTTTCTAACATAAAACAATGGATCAGTGATATGATATGGCCCAATTAAATAGTGCAATGAGAGGGGAGTAGACATAACAAAGAACAGACACCTTGTTGCTCATTGTTCAGATATCAGATTTCAAAACCTAACCAAGCTTTAAGTTGCATTTCTTCACAAGGCTGTCATACTGAAGACAAACAGTGTTGCCATGGTAAAACAAGCTGCCCCAGCACGTTGCTCAACTGAATTGGAAAATTAAATGCTGAGTGTTCACTTCTACTAACTGCTATTAATAGTTCAATAAACACATTGTTCCATTCAGTGCTTTCTTGTAAACCCCCCACTCCCCACTCTCTGCCTCTGCTTTGATGAATGGTGAGATTGGCACGTTTTTTTTGGTGTGCCCTGAGCATGTGCCACTGTTTGGCAGACAGATGACATTAAATACTATTCTATGACAACGTTATGTGTATTTTATGCATTGTAGACTGACGGTGACCCAGTCAGCACATTTAAGCAAATCTCATAACGGAACTGAATACATATTGAACATTACAGGCATTGTATTGAACAATATATATTTCCCATATCTAAGGGGCCATATGAAATCTGGAGGGAGTGCAAGCTTCAAAGAGCTCGGGGAACATCAAGTTGTTTAGACAATTGAGGTGCACCCAAGTGCTGCCACTGGGAAAGTTTAGGCAAAGTATGAAAGGGTGGGCCCTCTGAACCGAAGCGACTTTATATAACATGGCTCTTTTTGTAACGTTTCAGACTAATGGCATCTTGAACAGGTCTCTCTTGCGAAATAGATTTAAATGCCTACCGCCGTTGTGCTATTGATCAAGGCACTTTACCCCCCCAAACTGCTCCAGGGGTGCTGCACTGTGGCTGTCCCTGGCTCGGACCCCAACTACTCTCTGTGTATATACAGAAACCACAGCTATGTGGAAGCACCTGCTTTCAATATACTTTGTATCCCTTATTTGTGTTTCCTTTATTTTGGCAGTTACCTGTATGTATGTACGTACTGTATGTCAAATAAAATTGTATTTGCCACATGCTTCGTAAATAAGTGTAGACTAAGAGTGAAATGCTTACTTATGGGCCCTTTTCCAACAATGCAGAGTTAAGATAAAGATTTTAAACGATATATAGAAATAGTGACAGGAGGAATAAAGACACAGTGAATAACAACAACGAGTAAAAATAACACGGCTATATACAGGAAGTACCAGTACCTAGTAAAAATAACACGGCTATATACAGGAAGTACCAGTACCTAGTAAAAATAACACGGCTATATACAGGAAGTACCAGTACCAGTACCGAGTCGATGTGCAGCGGTATGAGGTAATTTAGGTAGCTATGTACATATAGGTAGGGGTAAAGTGACTAGGCAACAGGATAGATAATAGACAGTAGCAGCAGCATGTGTGGTGAGTGTGAATGGGTGTGAGGCGTGTGTGTGTTGGGATATCAGTGTTTGTGGGTGGAGTCAGTGCAAGAGAGTTAGTGCAAAAAAGTATGCATGTCTACCGGGGAGAATGGGATATGCAACGAAAAAATCTGTTGCTCATGTAGTAAATGGACCATGTAAAGTAATCCTTATCTTAAATTGATCTATTTTTTTTTTTGAATAACCAGTATGAGTAAAAGTTTTAAAAATAAAACATAACAGCCTCCAGTATCTAGACACTGGGGTTCTAACATAGATTACCCTTTGAGTTAAGCTTTGGCACACACAGTAACAAACAGTCATTAGCCTACCAATAATGACATCTGATAATAAATAACCATTATGTTTAGTTTATAATCATTCAGTGACCCACTTTCTTGTTTCACATACTTATGTAAAAACAATATGCTTACATCATTTATTTTTATTTTTATGAGGCTTTGTAAGCTACTGTGGACAAATATAGAACCTTTGCATTATACTCCTCGGCTCTAGAAATAAATAACTTTATCTTAGTTATAAGTATCCATTTCATCATCTCCAAGAAACTGACCTTTTCCATTCATCAGAAATGTTCACTTACACAACCTCTGGTCCATTATAAAACGAACCATATAACACCACCAAAAAAAACATAACACACCAATGGGCGTGCTCCCTTTAAGTCACATGCCATTACCAAATTCAGCGCAGTCACCTAGGTCGCAGTAAAATTAGGTTGACAGAAAGAGGTGACCGTCTACCTTTGCCGATACGTTTGGAACTAATGGGTCTTATTTTATTTATTAGGCGTTGTTGATTAATTTTAAGTCGAATATGCATTGAGAATGGCTAGCCAATCGCGCGTTGCCTAATTCAGGAGGTTATACAAACTTTCAGTGTAGCAGGTTACATAAAAACAACCAGTTATTGGACAAAGTGAATTCTCGGTCTGTCTCTATTGATCAATTCATTTATTTTATTTGAATAACATTATTTATTTTTTTACATAGACGTTATAGACTTCACTGATATGGATGTTCTTTTGGAAAACCACTTGGATTATTTTATACACGACAATACTGCTGCTACGGGCTTGAGTCCAGAAATGCTTGCAGTTACACGGGAAGCCTTCGGTGCTGGGGACTTCAACCTCCTTGCTGAGATCTACAGCTCCCAGCTGGCGGATATCCGACACCCGGACCGGAGCCTCTGCCTCCTGAAAGCGGACGCGCTCAGCAGGGCTGGGCGGATGGCGGAGGCTCTGGATTCATACTGCAACGCCGCCAACTTGGACAGGTTACGACCAAACGAACTAGGGTCTCTCGTTGACTGTATTGCGCACACTTTGCGGGTAAAAGAATGCCTAAAAGAATGCACAGACTACAATGGGGTTTCCGAGGATGAGCATTCGTTGGAACTGTTCTCATGTCGGCTTTGCAAGTGCTTGTTAATCGAGCCAACAACTTTGGAATGCGGCCATACATTCTGCAAACCATGCATTGAGGATGACGGGATCAAAGAATGTGAAATCTGTCGTTACAAACTGAACAAAACAAATAGAGAATTAAAACCAATCGGTTTTAGAGTGAATGTAGTACTCAGGTGCCTGTTGGGTAAATGGTTTTGCGCAGAGAGTGAAGCAAGACGATGCTGGCTTGAAGGGGATAGAATGCGGAACGAACGGGGCTTTATCAACGCTCTTGAAAAATACAACAAAGCTATTGAAAAAGGTAAAATAACAACGTATTTAAAGGGACAATCCGCAGTGGAGACAAAGCGTATTCAGCGACACTGTTTTCGTAAAAAGTTTAGGGATGGGGCTGGAGTAATGTAACCACTCAAATTCATAGACAGAACTAACATTGCAGTAAAACAAGCTTACATTTTGGGTTCTGATAAGAGTACAACAGTTGAACTAAGCTCATGAGACATTTAAGATATATTCTTTAAGAATCAATGGGTACATAACATACATTTTAAGTCAAAATGAATGTAGCAACTGAAGAGTTCCCCTTTAACATTACATCATCACTCTTTTCTCATGATCTTTTTGTGCAAATTGAAATAAAAGCCTGTAACCCACTTCTGTGAAGTGCATATGCTTGTAATAGGTTATGTCAACCCATAAGGTCAAAGCCATGTTATCAACATCACCGATTGAAGGGGAACAGCCCCAGTCTGCAGGGATTATCCCATCACTGCCACCAATGTAGCGATTGGGTGAGGGAACCAGTGGTTATGGGATAAGTGCTTTACCACCCGTGCCACGTTCATAACACAAACTATACCAGATATAGGTTGGGATACATTGGCATCATCACACCATGATGACAAGTTCAGCTAAGGCATGAGTTGTGTAAGGCATGAGTTGTGTATGCCTGTGGACTTCGAGGGAACTCTAGTCTAGGGATCAGAGTAGGCAGAAAGCTAGCTTCTACCTTTATTTCATGGATAGGTAGCTAGGGTAGGCTTTCCAAATAGGTCAGGCATTGCATTGACAAATACTTTGTGGTGTTAGACACAGGCAGACATTTTTGTCTTGACTCACACAAAACATTTAATGACAGGGCGTCTGGAAATGACACTCCTTCTCTAATCTTGACCCATCAGTAATGTAGTCCTCAGGGCGAAAGGTAATAGGATAGAGGTATTCAAAGTTCTGTGGACTGAAAGAGGGCAGGAATGGTGGAATTGCTTCAACTCATGGCCTGACCGAGCCCAGAACTAGTTACATATGACCTGGATCTTATGAAATAACATTCTGCCCTACATACAGCTTGTCATCATTTGTGTAACTGCATGTGGGTTGAATATTTAGGTAACACATTACCCTTTCAGGGGGGTTGTAAAAGGGTTATTAATACAGTTATAGCTGTTAAGTAATGACTTCTAAATTACATACTAATAATTAACTGTCTTCAAACCCATACAGCATGGTTTTATACTGGGTTTAAGGCATTAACACAATGGACACGAGCAATGGAGGGTGTTGGAGATATGTGAATAACTTAAGCTGAATCTGACTCTTAACTAATGTTTGCATCATCTCTCCTCACAGCCCCCTCTATGTGTAGGCTGCTGGGCCGACGCGCAGAGCTACACATGGAGATGAACAACTTCAGACAGGCCATACAGGATGGAGACACCATGTGCCGACTGACGCCCCTCTCTCCCAAGGTAAGAAAACACGCAACTGTTTCCTGATATTAACACATTTACCCAAATGTTTTTGTGTAAATAACCTGAACGATACTGTGGTACTTGGGTTTTGTGTGTTTGTGCTCTCAGGCTCACTACGTGAAGGCCCTGGCTCTGAACAAAGCAGGTTATAATGAAGAGGCCCTGCAAGAATACTTCTACTGTCTGGCTCTGAAGCCAAACTGGACCTCAGTCAAGCTGGAAACGCAAAAGTTAAGCTACAACCACTGTGTTTAATTAGTTAGTTCACCGAACCAGATACTCAACCACTTGTGTGCCTGATTGACTGCGATGACTGCCAGTCACTGTCTTATCTCTTTCCCCCTGTAGATGCTGAGTGAGATGTTTTTTTCCGTGTTCAAGACGGACGGTCTCCCCACGTCATCACTCCGCCCCCACCAAACAGGTCTCGCTTCCCACCTCAAACCAGCCTCCCTTCTCCTCAGCTCCCTCCATTCCACCCCTCGTAGATGGAACCAAACCGCTACGGCAGAGACCAAGTCCTCATGTGAGGACTCCAAGACCCTGGCGTCTGTCCTGGCTGCCTTGCCTTTCTCCCCTGGCCTGAAGAGGAAGTTCTCAGGCGAGCCCCAAGGCTCTGCACCGCCCAACAAGCTGCCCAGAAAAGGTACCCAACCCCTCCCATTCCAATTGGCAATTATTTATTGTTGCCAAAAAGTAGATTTTTAAAGTAATACTAGTGAACAAAAACCTTGCAAAGTATCTTATTGTTGCTTGAATGCAATCATTATAAATGTATAGAAACCTCAGCAACAATAAAATGTACATTTCTTTCTTTGAGTCTTGTGTTCAGATGAGGCAAGCTCATCCCAGATGCCTGCAGCTTGTTGCAGTGGGAGGAGAGAGGTGCCCCCTCAGCTCCTGGATAGCGCTGACATGGAGTGCTCTGTTTGTATGAGGTAAGTCAAACACACACACACATACACACACACCCTGTCTGTAGGTCCAGTTGTCCCTATGTAGTTATTAAAACCCCCCTTGTGTTTTCTCCAGGCTGTTCTACGAGCCAGTCACCACCCCCTGTGGACACACCTTCTGCATGAATTGTCTTGAGCGCTGTCTGGACCACAACCCCAAATGCCCCCTGTGTAAAGAGAACATTACAGAGGTAAATAGTCACCACACAGACCTGCCTTCACTACTATTGGAAATGAACACCAATTACTGAAAGACAACATGAGGTAAAAATGAGTTATGACCCAGATTCCCCTTGTTATCTAATTGAACCTGTTGTTGTAATTGCAGTACATGGCCACTAGAGGGTACCATAAGACCCTGCTGATGGAGGAGATACTGCAGCGCTACCTGTCTGAGGAGCTGATTGAGAGGAGCAAGGTGCACCAGGAAGAGATGGCAGAGCTGTCAAAGTAAGTCAGGCCTCATTATGTTTCAGCCCCTAACCCCTTCTCAAAACAAAATGGCTGACCATTTTTTTGAATCCATCATTATGATACAATATTAGGTGGGCAGAATATCATATTTAGTGGTTTAACCCACATTTTATTCTCTCTGCAGCTTGACCCAGGAAGTGCCCATCTTCATCTGCACCATGGCATTCCCCACAATCCCCTGCCCCCTGCAAGTCTTCGAGCCGTGTTATAGGCTGATGATCCGACGCTGCATGGAGACGGGAACCAAGCAGTTTGGAATGTGCATCGCTGACGACATCAAAGGGTGAGTGGAGGTTTTACACCTGTGCCCACACAGCCATCAAAACACTTTGACACTAGTTTAACCAAAAGGGTAGCAAACCTGTGTTTGCGACTCAATTCAAGACCATGTTAGGCCACTGAACTAAAGCCTACCCTAGACATTTTATCTGGGTGCTAACAGGTTTCCGGCTTAGTTACTCATCCACACAGGCGTAGCTCTGTGAGCTACCTCCACTACACTAGCCTATCGCTCACACTTTCACTCCAGCAGATTCACGTAAGCAAATAGCTAATACAGATGTAGGAACTTAATTTGATCTTTCTTTTGTTGCGGAGAATTTCCCTGCACGGCAGGAAATGCAAACTTATAGTGTATTTGAGTTTTAAAGAGGCTTCTAAAGTTTGTAATTTTGACGAAAAAATTGATCAACCCCTACAACAATGTCCATTAATTATAATCCACATAATAATTCACATTTCCTGTTGCTGCAGAATTATTTTTCTGCTGTAGCAAACTGGCTCAAAATAAGATCCTACATCTGTATTCCCTGCGTTTCCCTGGCCACAGCTTTGCAGACTACGGCTGCATGTTGGAGGTGAAAGACATGAAGTTCCAACCAGACGGGTGCTCGGTGGTCGACACGGTCGGAGTGTCCCGCTTCAGAGTGCTGAGCCACGGCCACCGTGACGGCTACAACACAGCCAAGATAGAGCACCTGGAGGACCAGAAGGTGGATGGAGAGGAGCTGGCCGAGCTGCAGAAGCTCCATGACTCTGTGTACGAGCAGGCCAGCGCCTGGTTTACCTCCCTCAAAGACAACATGAAGAACCAGATCGTCAGCCACTTTGGACAGCTGCCCGAAAAAGACCCTGACATGCAGGTAAGAAACAGTCAGCAGATACGTACAGTAGAACTAGGCTTCAGAGTTTATCCTGGTTTCGTTGCCTGCTCAGGAAACTCAGACCCTTTAGAACCACCCAGATAAATCTAAATCCCCATATCTGTTAATCTAAGATCTGATTAAACTAATAAACTGTGGAATATTGGCAATGGACACTTTTTTAGCTGTAATATGGAATAATTCTCTGTGTCCTGTTCTCTTCTCTAACCCTACCATGCTCTGCCTCTGTGTTCTCAGGGGAGTGCCAGTGGTCCTGCATGGTGTTGGTGGCTTCTGGCCGTACTGCCCCTGGAGAAGAGAGCCCAGCTAAGCATCCTGGCCATGACCACCCTCCGAGAGCGCCTCAGCACCACCCGCCGCGTGCTCAGCCTCGTCACACGCAAACACCCGCCACCACGGCGACCATCTTCATCAGCAGCAGCATCATCATCACTGTAGTGGCATCCCTAGAGGTGATCAGTTTAGAATCATCTGGGCCCAGTTTGTCAAAAGTTATCTATCTGGATTTCACCTATCGGTTAGGATTAAATGCATACAAATATAATTAATAGAACGGGAGTCCCCGTTGTAGTCAATGATTTGTCTGTTCTATTCATTATATTTCTATGCATTTAATCCTATCCGATAGACTAAATCTGGATAGATAACTTTTGGAAAACTGGGCCCTGGAGAAGAAGGGAAACGATACTAAATTTTCCTCAGAAGCGCTAGCCTCAGATAAAGAGTTTCAACATTGGGAATGATTTACCAGTGTTGTTCATAATCTCAGGAATGGGTTCTACTTGAGTCTTTAAAAAAGGATCGATGGACTAGTCCTACCCAACCAAAACACATAAATGTGTCAGGTTTGCGCACATATATTTGGGTCAATTCCATTAAGTCCAGTTTTGTCATGTTTGTGTGTGGTACATTAGGTTATTATTGTCCTCTTGTCTTATTATTGGCCTGTGTACAAATGAGGCCTTAACTTATTTTTGCAATGTTTTTTTCTACTATTTGTCATGTAAAGCCAATTTTCATGTACAGAAATGTAGCATTTTTCTATGGGACATAATGAATAGAATAATGCACCCCATCCCTTACTGGAAAAATATGTTCTACTGTATATTGGTAATCATGTCAGGAGGGAGCGCTTAATGCAAGCAAGTGAAAAATAGCAGCACAAGACATTGCAGTAGCACAGAACATCCACAGGGTGGCAGTAAAAGTGTGAACAAAGAGGATCAACGCAGACAGCCTTACATTTATTTGAACAGGTGTTTTTTGTGGAGGACAGATCCACCCCTTTCCTTTCCATCACAAAAACAATGGACAGTAGGACAACACCCCTGTGATTCAACAGCCTATTTTTAGTTGAGTTCAATTAATCAAAGCTTGATTAAATATAGTAAGCCTAACTCATGTCTTTATAAGTCCACAGAGTGTATACTTCGGCTTCATAGCTAGTCAACCATCTTGATAAATTAACCAATGATTTTCAGCTCGATTAATTCCCCAGATGCACATCAGAACTAATGTTTGCAGCCTCGCCATGGTGTTTTCCCAGCAACTGCTGTGTACTCCTGGTCTAGCCAGACTGGTCACAGGAGCTGAAGTTGGTTTTAAAAACCGTATCTTTGTCCCAGGTTGAAGTTCCTTAAGGGAAATATCATCGTTGGATGCTGTACAGCAGGGGTGTCAAACTCATTCCATGGAGGGCCGAGTGTCTGCAGGTTTTTTGTTTTTTCCTTTCAATTAAGACCTAGACAACCAGGTGAGGGAAGCTCCTTACTAATTAGTGACCTTAATTAAGTACAATGGTGGAGCGAAAACCCACAGATACTCTGCCCTCTGTGGAATGCGTTTGACATGCTGTACAATAACAATGAGGCCAAGTGGTGTTTCTTTCCACTGTGCTGTTGTGAGGCATGCATAGACACTCACCTTCATAGTTATCTACATGAGTCTATTCCAAAAATCACACAGTGGGTCTCTTTCCCCCACAAACAGAGGTTGTCAAGAGGCCTGGGCAAAGGCACAAAATATGCCATATCCCAAATTGTAAGGACTGGTGTACTCTGTGTGGGCACCACATTAAAAGCTTCTGTGACTTAGCGTATTTCACACACAGTCAGATCTAGGAGAAGCAGCCAGGTGAGTCATTTGGGTTACTATGAAGTCAGAACCGTAGACAATGAGTCACCTCCGTGCTCCGTCACCACCATGTTGGAATGATCTGGAATCTCCCCAATTGATTCATAACCAAACCCAATTGATAAACACACACGCCATCATTCTCCCAGACCTGCTGAGGGGAGGACGGCTCATAATAATGACTGAAACGGTGCACATTTTTGGTAACAGGAATGTGAAGATGGCATTTTATTCAATTTATCTTAACTTATACCTTTTAAATGTATGATTTTGATACTTGTGTGTTAATTGGGCCCAAAACTTTCATTATTCAAACCATTCCATATAGGTATACATTTACCATCAACTTCATCCTCAACAGTCAATTGTCTTTTCAATTTGAGTGTGTTCAGGTGTGTTGGCCACGCCTAGTAATTGGCCACACCTGATCTTAATTGGTTTGTGTCTTGAAAGGGGGTCTGTTTGAACGGGGAATGCTTTGAGGCTATAGACATGCTATATGCTCCTCAGGAAAGGTTTTGGTTGTTTTAATAACCTTTTAGCATGGTCTCTTTAAACCATCTGTTTTATAAATGAATAAATATTTATTGAATTCTGACCATTTCTATCTGTCCAGTTATTCTTTTTTAACCTCTTGATGTGCACGGGGTAAGGCCAGATTCTTCACAAGGAACCTTGTTGCTGGCCATTTTGTATAAAATACACACAGATCACATGATCTATAGTCGGAAAGAACATGTTATATGTGTGAGTTACCGCACTGATGTTATGAAACACGTGGCAACCATAGAAAGGTGTCTGAATATGAGGCTAATATCAGGCGGCCTTTGGCCAGATGCCCACTGACTGAGACAGGATCAGCTGTATACATATCAGTAATGACAAAAAAGGGAAGTGAGCAAAGGCAGTAGGTCCCTGAAAAACCACCCCGGGATAGTGCTTTAGGATGAGGGGGCGAGACTCACCTAATAGAGTACACGGTCCGCTGTACCTTTCCTAATAACTAAACAGAGACAGCACATGGAGTTCAAACGACAATGTATGAACGCCTCTCATTGAGGGTAACCTAATGCGGTAGCTCTACTTATGGCACATATTTGCAAATAATGACGTTTCAGTGCACACTCCGCTTAAGCTCGTTCGATTGTTCCGTTGCCACACCCATGATTACGAATATTGACACCGATGGCTCACGTGCGCATGTCCATGATTCCGTGAGATAGAGGCCTGCCTCGCCTTTTCTCGCGCATCTATTCTTTACAGAAATCCTTCGTTTTATATGAAAAAAGTTGTTTGTATTATTTTGGAGGGGCCGTTGACTAGATGAGGCAGAGAAGAAGAGAAATATATTTGTATCTCTATTTCTTTACTGAATAATCACCCACTCCCCGGTTATTGCATCAAGGCCCTGCCCCTCCTCTGTGATTCCCGACCGGCTTCCTGTGTTTGTGCGGTTCTCACAAGCCAGGGAGTGAGGAGGATCAGAACTGGGAGTTGAGCGAGAGAAGGGCCGAGCTGCCACCTCAACATGGAGTAGCCTGGTGTCCTCGACAACAGTAGCGGACCACAAAGAGGAATACTCGAGGGCTATTTTTCTACAAGGAGGCACCGCAAATGATACCACATCAAAGATTCCACAGTTAACGCGAAGGAAGGATCGGTTTATATTTAAAAGATGGCGAACGACTCTCCGGCTAAAAGTCTGGTCGAAATAGACCTGGCTTCATTGCGGGTGAGCGGTGGACAAGGGCAGTGTCTTTTATTTCAAGATTAGGCTACTCCCAGATGTAATCTATTCCAATACCGTGAGATAACGTTATATACAACAAAGCAAACAGTTTTACCCAATAAAATATGGATACATTTTCGAGGTTAGCATTGCTGGGAGACTTATTTATTTATTATTATTCGGATCGAGAGAAAGCTGTCGTGCTGCCTGGCTTTCCTTTGTTCGAAATGCATTTGGCATGTTGTAGAGATCAGGGCGCAACAGCTGCGTTAATCTAGGTCCCATCTTTGCAACAATTATTAAAAAAACATTTTTCATAAAAAATTTATGGATGTGTAAAACATCTCTCTTTTTGACTCGTTTCAGGATCCAGCAGGGATTTTTGAATTGGTGGAAGTGGTCGGAAATGGCACCTATGGACAAGTATACAAGGTTGGTTCCAAGCTATATTATTTTATTCATCTGTGGCCTTCTCCTTGATACAAGATAGCTACATTGTTGCAGTTTTGGCATTGATCATAGGAATGATCCAGATTTCATGCCTGTGTGATGGAATAGATTCACGTCAACATCTCATCAGGATGTTTCTGTCATTACACGCCAATAATCGCTGGTTGGATTGGTAAAGATGATGATGATGATGTCCCTCTGGGTTTTATTGCTTGTAAAAACATATTTGGTGAAATATGGAAGGTAACTTGCAATCAATCCATGTACCACTCCATAGGCCAAGCTCCTCTGTTTCTCCTCTTCTACCCAGGCCTGTACGCTCAGTTGATTTGTTTCTAAGTTGGAACCATTTTCTCTTATAATTTCCATGAATATTATTGATTGGTTTAGAAGTAAATGGCAACTGGGTTTGCAGACCAGTGTTGCTATGAGTGTTTTTAAAGTGCAGCACATCTGCTACATCACATCCTGCTGTGGAGAGAAGGGCAAAGGGAATTGGTTACTACTGCGGATCCAGACTAGGCCTTGCTTCATAGACTATTTGGTTAAGTAAAATATCATGTGTTACACAGCAGGCTTTTTCACTCTCTCAACCATCTGTTTCTTGGTGTCATGTTTCTCTGTGAAAATGATCATGACTGTTTAAAGTTGAAATTGACCTTTTGGAGAATTTGGTGGGTTCCTTCTCTTGGACTTTGAGGATGAGTCCGACCCACTATTGGTGACCTGCCTCTTTCTCTGTACCCTCCTGTCCATTGGAAGGTCTGACCTATATTTGACCCCTTCTTTCAAACAGTCAGGCTAGCGACACTTTAGCAGAGCAGCTTGAAAACAACAACTGGAAAGTCTGTTAAGCAGGGTCGTTCACAAGGGCTGCATCAGTGCTCTGTCTATTCTCTTAGCTCTCAGGAGCAGGGTAGCTACTCCTGACTGAGTAGAATCAACAATAGTAGTCTGGATGTTAAAACGTAAAAGCAGAACCATTCATCTGATCCAACCCCGTGGAACGGAGAAGGCTGTTTTCTTTTGGTCATGTGACCCCATTGGTAATGGAAAACTTGGTAGCAAGCATCTTCCTACCATGAACAGATGGCTTCATGGGCCTATGTGGAGAGAGTTATTCACTTTTAGGCATTTATCTCTCTCTCTCTCTTTACTGCTCTTTCTAAATTTCACCAAATGATAGACTACAGAGTTTATTGGAATTGGTGCATTAAAACGTTTACATCAAAGGCTCATATAGGCCTTATGCTATCTTTTGCTATTTATAGTCAGGCAGAGCATGAGCCATTCTACCACACTGCATGGAATAGAATGGACGTCCTGCAAAAGGGCCCCGGGCCAGACTGGCTGTGTATGTGCCTGTTGTTTAGTCCGCAAAATGGAGGACATCCTTGGTCTAATGATTCCAAGCAAAGCCAACTTGTCTGTGCTGATTTACATTTTAGTAATTTAGCAGACGCTCTTATCCAGAGCGACTTACAGTTAGTGAGTGCATACATTTTCATATTTTTTTCATACTGGCCCCCCGTGGGAAACGAACCCACAACCCTGGCGTTGCAAGCGCCATGCTCTACCAACTGAGCTACACAGGGTGATTTGAAAGATAAAGAACAAGAACCGGGGGTTGTAGTTTTCTCCTGAAATTCAAAAGACCTCATTTGCTATTCTGCAGATAGTTAGGTCTGCATGCTCTGGTTATTTGTACATGTTCACAACAGACAGTCCCAAAGCCATTGGATGTCAGAGGTTTACTGTATGCCAACCTCTAACCTACATCATTGGAATGCCAAATAAAGGCAGTTTGTTTCAGTCAATTATTCCCCTTCGTCTAGTGAGACTGTACTGAGCACTACACGTTATAAACTAGGCTAATATGTAGCCCAGCTATGTACTCTACATGACCAAAAGTATGTGGACACCTGCTCGTCGAACGTCTCATTCCAAAATCATGGGCATTAATATGGAGTTGGTCCCCCCTTTGCTGCTATAACAGCCTCCACTCTTCTGGGAAGGCTTTCCACTAGATGTTGGAACATTGCTGCGGGGACTTGCTTCCATTCAGCCACAAGAGCATTAGTGAGGTCAGGCACTGATGTTGGGCGATTAAGTCTGGCTCGCAGTAGGCGTTCCAATTCATCACAAAGGTGTTAGATGAGGTTGATGTCAGGGCTCTTTGCAGGCCAGTCAAGTTCTTCCACGCCGATCTCGACCAACCATTTCTGTATGGACCTCACTTTGTGCACGGAGACATTGTCATTCGGAAACAGGGAAGGGCCTTCCCCAATCTGTTGCCACAAAGTTGGAAGCACATAATTGTCTAGAATGTCATTGTATGCTGTATCGTAAATATTTCCCTTCACTGGAACTAAGGGGCATAGCCCGAACCATGAA